ACAGGTCGCGGTATATACAATGCGGTCTTACAATATGAACAGGTCGCGGTATATACAAACGGTGCTAGAGTCTATCAGGACGCGGAGATCGGAGCGGTCTTACTGGTTACGGTATATGTACAACGGTCTTACGAACTAACGGGTCGCGGTATTTAGACGGAAAGCTACACGGAGACCAAAGTGGTCTTACGGTGGAAACGGTCGCGGTATATACGAACGGCCGTCCTATACGAACGGTGCGCGGGGCGCGGTACGGTCTTACGAACTAGGAGTGCGCCGTCCCAGCAACCGGGAAGCCCGGTATAACCACGGGTAGCCCGTGACCTGGTTTAACGCGAAGGATCGAGAATGCGCCGTCCCAGCAACCGGGTAGCCCGGCATAACCACGGGTAGCCCGTGACTTGGTGTAACGCTAGGTATCAGGGTGCGCCGTCCCAGCAACCGGGTAGCCCGGCATAACCACGGGTAGCCCGTGACTTGGTGTAACGCTAGGTATCAGGGTGCGCCGTCCCAGCAACCGGGTAGCCCGGCATAACCACGGGTAGCCCGTGACTTGGTGTAACGCTAGGTATCAGGGTGCGCCGTCCCAGCAACCGGGTAACCCGGCGTAACTACGGATAGCCCGTAGCCTGGTGTAACGCGGTATAGGTTTCGGATCAGGAGTTGTACTAGGTAGGACACGGGATAGGGAACTGGTAACGCTACGCTCGCCGGAGCGCCTTATATACCGGCAGCCTCCCACACACGTGAGTCGGTGCGTGGTGGGGCGGCCCCACGGTGGGGCCGCGCTACGGGTGTGGGAGCTTAGGGGCGCCATTGGCGCCGAGCCTCAGAATTGCGGGCGGCTGGTCGGCCCGCGAGACTGGTAACGGTATCGTTACAATATTTTTCAGATATAATTGATTTAAAAAAACCACTTTTTACAAATCGATTATATGAATGTTGATGCTTTTTTTTAACATTGCTTATCCCTGGGAAGAACGTTTTATTATATACAAAAGTTACTTACATATACATATACACTACTTTTCGACATAATTGTCATCCGAATTGAGGCATTTGTCGTAATGCGGCACTAGCTTTTGTATGCACTCATTAAAGTATGGTGCCGCCAAACTAGATTCTCAGCCGACTCTTAGCACTGCTCATCAGCTATTCATCAGCTTCTCCAATTGCTGCGTTCTTAGCCATACTTTCATATGTCTGAACAGATAAAAATCGTTTGGTGCAAGGCCCGAACTGTAGGATGGGTGATCAAATTCCCATTGTATTGCTCCTAAAGTTCTGAGGGGAGTTTTTTGACCAATCTACAGTTCAAACCTTGCATTGAGTGAGTTTCATTTGTTCACACACATAAAAATGTAGCTGGGAACGCAACAATTCGAAGACAATAAAAAAACTAATAAGTAATACTAGGAATTGGCTGAAATTGCAGTTTAATGGCACCCTATTTCGATAAGGGCATACAAAAGTTACCGCGTTACAACAAGTGCCTCAATTCGGATGGCAATTATGTTGAAAAGTAGTGTATATATACAGGGTGAGGCATTTATAGTGACGCGGGCGTATTTCTCGGAAACGAAGCGAGATATTAAAAAATGTTTTAGACAAAAGTTGTTTGGTTCGAAAGGGGACATAAGATGGTGCCATTGATGTGACCTTGGATAGTCATTTAAAGGTCACATGAAGGTCACTTTCAATTTCTTAAATGGAAATCCCTATTTTTTAATGCACATTCTTGTAGCTTATCTCGGAAGCTTTTCAAAACACTATAAATGTAAGTAACTATATAATAAAAAATTTTTTTTCTTCCTGTTTCTTTTTTTATTTTACAAGCCTATCGGAGGAAAATTTCCGAATAATCCTTGTAATAGGGTAGATGTCCCAATTACTACCATTTTAAGCTTACAGTCTAACTTCATTTAACTGTTTTGAGTGTTGCTGAAGCTAAAAAATGTCTTACTTTGAATCATAATATTATTTAATAACTCTATTATTATAAAAAAGTTATTATGTATTAAATATAAATACTCAAATTAACAATAAATACAAATTTACAGAAATCTGTGATACCTCTATGACTGTCATTTAAAAAAACTGTTGTCCGTATGACTGATACGCGATAATTGCCAGTCTCTTTGATTGTGACCAGATCACTGCCAGTCCAAATACCAGTCTCGTTGCGCCCGAAAAGAGGTTATACACTAAGAGCTACTAGCGACATTTTTACCTACGGTATTTATACTGAGCTCTTCTGGTAATGAGAGACTCGTTTTGACGTATAGAGAAAGGATCGACGAGTCTGGCAGCTGGGCAAAAGTATAGCAACACTTTACCCCCAAACATCATAAAAAATTGTATCAAAATTTTTACTTATATTCGTCTGTCCTTTTGCTATATTGCATTTTATGGAATTTTATGGCCGTAAATGATAATGCCAGACATATTGTGGGGTATTAAATTGGCTAGAGATTTTTTTTTCATCGAAAATTATGGTACTATTATAGAATTTTACAATAGCAGAACAATATTTTTATTTATATAAACCAGACTATTTTATATATTATTTTAATCACACTTTCAGGATACTATTAAAATAAATCCCAGATCAATATTGTGGTATTAAATGTATGCTGACAGATTGACAAAATCAATGCCATGAACATGAGCATAGTATTAACTCTTGTGGGTGACGTCGTTGATGAATATTCCATCTTGTATTTTTTATTGTATAACACCTGAATCGAATAAATTAAGATTAATAGGAATATATATCGAATATGTATATCAATAATTGAAAAAAATACATATGAAAAATTTTATTCAGCATCGTCTTCGTATACTGTAGAACAGTGCTCGGAGATAGTTGCCCTTTTCGGGTCGATATGTGAAGCGACGCCTACGGTCCCCCCACTACCGCTCGAGGCTCGACGGCCGAGCCGCCGATCGCGCGCGTAACGCTATGCCTCAGGAATCCTCAATATCTTCATCTTTTTCCTCTAAATTTTCGACATCATTTCTATCGGCATCTCTGTCCATAGTAATATCGTCTTCTGTTAATTAAAATAAAGTCGAAAAAATGATTGGAATAGAGTCAAGAACATATTTGAGTATAGTGTAAGAACAAATTATTATCATCAGAAGTATTTTTATTATCGAATTTACAGCATTGAATAGTCATCATTTACCGATGCTAGTAATTGATCGCCTTTGAACCACGTAAAAGTATACTGTCCTTGGATTTCTGTCCAACCACCTTGGGGAAGCAAATTTGTTAACGTTTTTAGATACGCATTTCTCCATGAAATCGTTATGAAGTGTGCTCGAAGCACACTATACTATTCAATGCTGCAAATTCGATGATGAAAATATTTCTAATGGTAATAATTTTTTCTCTCACTATACTCAAATATGTTCTCGACTCTATTCCAATCATTTTTTTTTATTTTATTCTAATTAACAGAAGATATTACTATGGACAGAGATCCCAATGGAAATGATGTCAAAAATTTCGATGAAAAAGATGAAGATATTGAGGAAAACTCTACAGTATACGAAGACGATGCTGAATAAAATTTTTCGTATATATTTTTTTTCAACTATTGATATACATATTCGATATATATTCCTAATAGTTTTAATTTATTCGATTCAGATGTTATACAACGAAAAATACAAGATGGAATATTCATCAACGGCGTCAGCCACAAGAGTTAATACTATGCTCGCGCTGATGGCATTGATTTTTTTAATCTGTCAGCATACAGTTAATACCATAATATCGATCTGGGATTTATATTAATAGTATCTTGAAAATGTGATTGAAATAATATATAAAATACAACCTGTTTTATATAAATAAAAATATTGTTCTACTATTGTAAAATTGTGGAACCCTAATTTTCGATGAAAAAAAAATTCTCTAGCCAATTTAATACCCCACAATACGTTTGGCATTATTATTTATGGCCAGAAAACTCCATAAAATGCAATATAGCAAAAGGACAGATGAATATAAATGACAATTTTGATACAGTTTTTTATGATGTTTGGGGGTAAAGTGTTGCTATGCATACCTTTGCCCAGCTGCTAGACTCATCGATCTCTTCTCTATATGTCAAAACAAGTCCCTCATTAACAGAAGAGCTTAGTATAAATACCGTAAGTAAAAAAGTCGCTAACTCTTGGTCTATTAGAATTGTCTGTAGGTGAGTGTCAGTTATGCATACTTGTGATGTTTCTTGCCTCGAATACTGACAGCAGTCTAACGGACAAACCAGATAATATTATCCCTATTGCTGTCAGCGTTAATTATAATATTAATCTAAAATATTTATTTCACACATTATTTCATTAAAATGATTCTTATATAGCTCATTAATTCATTTTACATAATCAATGTAGATAATGTAATAAAATTATTGCACTTTCTTTAGTACGACTTTTGTATCGTCTTTTATTTACATAGTCGCACTTTTGATACTCAAACTTAACTAATAGTCAGTTTTTAATATTAATTTTTATATACTAAGTAAAAACAAATACGTGTCATTTCTTTATTTTTATATAAATTAAAGTATTGATTTAATAATAAAATTTCGTTTGAACATGTTTGTTTACAAATTTATTTTTTATCTGGTAAAATAAATAAAAGGTCAGTTAAAGGAACACTGGCACTTATTAGGACATCTATTCTACAGGGTGTCCGGTAAAGATTGTGCCAGCGCTCGTGAGCGGCTAGAGCACAGTAAACTGAACAGAAAAGTCCTGTAACATTTTTTTATATAACGCGTAATAGAGGAGTTATTATTGAGTAAAATCTGGTCAATTAGCGTCGATTTTTAGCCGGACGCACGTCGGTGAGCCGCCCGCCTGATAGTATGCGGCGGCGCACACTTCACAGCGCGGGGCTCACTGACGTGCGCCCGGCTAAAGGTTGGCGCTGATTGGCCAGACTTTACTCAATAATAACTCCTTTATTAAGCGCTATATAAAAAAATGTTACAGGACTTTTCTGTTCAGATTACTGTGCTCTACCCGCTCACGAGCGTTGGCACAATCTTTACCGGATGCGCCCGGCTAAAGGTTGGCGCTGATTGGCCAGACTTTACTCAATAATAATTCCTTTATTACGCGTTATATAAAAAAATGTTACAGGACTTCTCTGTTCAAATTACTGTGTTCTACCCGCTCACGAGCGTTGGCACAATCTTTACCGGACACCCTGTATATAGCCATTTAAATAATATAGAGACAGATTTCTTGACATTTTTTATAATAAATGTTTAGCATATTTTCATGTGTTTACAGGATCTTGGCAACTTATTATCAAGAGCATCAACGTACCAGATATTATAAAAGTCAGCAATGATTACATTATTCTCGATTGCGATTACGATCTCGAGAATACATCGAGCAAGGGCCTCGTCGTCAAATGGTTTTTTAATACCAACCAAGTAGTTTACCAATGGATCTACGGCAGACACCCATTAGCAGATGAACCAGCTGCGAAATATGTGGATTTAACATACAAAGCTAGCGATGATCCGTATACCGAGTACCGAGCCATGAAATTGAATAAACCAGGCATTGATCTTACTGGCGAGTACACATGTGTTATATCTACATTCGAGGATGAGCGAACGGCGAATGCATTAATGGTAGTGTATTGTAAGTATAACTTTATTTTTAAATATATAATAGTTATATCTGTCTAATAATGTATAATGTTTTTTTTATCCGTAATCATCTATATGTATATGACAAATTTGAGTAAAACAATATATGAAAAATAAATTTTAGGGTTTTTTGGGAAAAATGTAAAGATGTTATGATTATTAGTATGATGTTTATTAATATCTTTGTAATGACGCCAACATGCTGTTCCCCAACCATCATCCGTTGGTGAAACCGCCCGATCAATCAACCATCGGGCGAGGAAACGGCGCAAGATGCCGTTTTAATCTACCACACACATAATGAAAAGCTGCCGACATATACGTCACTCAAAAGTTTGGACATCCTACCTAATTTTTATATATAATTATATTTTTCTGATAGATACAATTTTATTGAAAATATCGATTTTTATTTATAAATGTATATTATTTGGATAAAGTTTAAAATTAAAATAACAATAAAAAAGATACACACGTCTAAAAAATATTAATATTTAATATTAAAATATAAAATAAATTAAACATTTTTTTTAACAAAAATAAAATAAATTTAAATTTATTAAGAATCAGACGAGGATGATAGTGCGTCAGTTGCACAGAAAATTATTTTTCTATGAAACTGTTTATTGTGCACAGGGCACAAATTTTTCTTGGTCTTATACCAAATAAAATAAATCTCAATCTGAGATTCTGATAAACCCCTCTTTACCCCTCTTCAGCGACTTCACCCTTATATTTCGCCTACATCTCTTCAGGGGAGATAAAGAGGGATTTATTAAAATCACTAATTGAAATTTAGTTATACTTAGTATAAGACCAAGATAAATTTGTGCTCTGTGTACAGTAATTACTTTTTCATAAAAAAATTTTTTCTGAAATCGACGCATTACTATCCGCATCTGGCTTTTAATAAACCCGCTAAAGGATGATGCTCAAATTGGTCTACGGAACTATCTAAAAATAATCTATGGCAATCGATAAAGCGTAACAAGTACCAAACATTTCAATGGGTGCAACCTTGAACAATGCTGCCATCACATGATACAAATCATTTTCTAAAAAAACTGTTTTACAGATATAACCCTGCTTATATATATGTGCATCATAACTTTTCGTTTTTCAGCTCGTGTAAAAGAATACAACACGATCGATCTTATGACCATATTTATAAACTTTTGTATTTACTTAGTTCAGAATTTTTAGCTCAAAGTTTTGACTTTGAATATGGAAAATCTGTTAAAATCGTTGCAGCGATTTTCGCTTATAACGGTACAATAGATCATTATTCAATGTACAAAACAAATGAGGGAACACTTCACCAAAACATCAGCGTCATCAGTTATAGCATGTGAAATATATTCTTGAAATATTGCATGTTATCTACGACTGTTTATCTACAAAAACTGTTCACAATGTGGTCTCTAGACCTACTTCAACTTAAAACATTGCAATTAAAATCATTAAGACTAAAATCATAAAAAATATATTAAAACATTACTCGTCATCAGAATTCTCAAATACTTTGCATAGATCATTCAGTGATTGGGTAAGAAGATGAATATCTGGTAAAAAGCGAGCATAATCTAAAAACCAGAGAATAGCCAAAATATGTGGAGCATCCGACAATCCCGCTTAATTTTTACACTGACAATAGTGATCTGCCATTGCATCAACTTCAGTTTTATCACTGTCTACTAAAAGATAGAGATGGTGCGTTTGACTGAATTTTGTATGTTTGACTGACTTTGATGTCTTGACTGATTACGCTCGAAAATCAGGAAATTATGCTCAGCTGAAAAATTGTATGTAGACAATGCGAGAGACCCCACATGTCTACATAGTTGAATCTTCAAACTTTCGTCCACCTTGATATACTCTGCATAATAGAAGGGGTTTTCAACTGGTAAGAACCAAGAGAAATCATGCGGAGATCGCTTAATGTAAACAAGGGAACAATAAACACAAAATGTTGCCATCCATAGTATGAAAGGTTGCCGAACGCCTGTTCAAGTTTTGTACTTCAACCAACAAAACTAACTGATTTGGTTTAATTTAGTCAGCATCATAAATGCTATGTGTTCACCGTCTTCTTCATCAAATTTAATAGGTCCATGACATCTATTCAGCAGCGCTGCTATTCTGAAGTCTATCATCAAATGAGCAGAGACTTATTCGACCACACGTTGTCGAAATATCGGTAACACTGCTTAATCTTGCCATTTATAGCTTCTACAACAAAGCAATATTTAGTTACTAATCTCGACGTATTTGCCTGAATATCAGTAAGCTGTTATCGAGCTTGGTCGATAAAATAAAACATTTCTACTCTATAGTTAAAAATTCGGAGAAATTTGCAACATTTCGAAAATCCCGATTAACAAAGAATACATCTTCGTTTCTAAAAAATGAGCGAACTTCAGAATTGCAAAACAAATCTCGCATAATATCGACGTCACTGCTGTTTCCATCATACGGCCCGAAGACATCTAAAATATAGCTATCAGGCACAACTGTCAAAAATGGTTTTATCAAGAGTCTATGTTTATGCTGAAAGACTTTCTTTAAAAGCAGTTTGAGTTTTTCTGTATGTTTACATAAGTACCATCTCAGATAGTAATATTCTGATTATTCTTATCGCTATAGAAGAGCTTTCTTGATATTACGGTGGAGTGATGTAAAAAAGCTTCTCGGCTCAGCCGTTGAAATCTCAAGTTTGAAGGTAAAAAATCTGTTAAAAGCGATGACCGGACTTTCGACATCACTTGCTCAGCAGATGATCTAGATACGTTAAACAAGGAAGCAAGTTTTTCGTCAGTTTTACCTGTTCTTAACTTTGCTAAGAGTAACGCCAAAGCTGTATCTGGATGATTCTCTATTATTTTAAGACCACTCACTATTTGTAACGGTACTTGGAATTGAATTTTTAGAAGCCCTCTCTATTTATCAACCTGTGAGTTTTCCATTTCATCTAAATACTTGAAATTGAGACATGTTTCTCTTTGCCCAACCAGTATGTGGAAAGAATCTTATCCTTAATCTGAGAAGCATTAAAATCATTTTCCCTTTCTTGGAAAGGCTACGACTCACAATCATCAGGTCTGCGGTGATCTGCAATGGGCACCTTTAGGCAGATAAAAATAATGCTTAACTAAAAGAACGTTTCAAAGTTCTTGCAAAACATTAAATAACTGGGCTGCGCGGCAACCATATGTTCATCGTGCATGAATTGTTAGGCTTCAAGCGATGTTCAATTCAATTGAATTACTTGATGCCTATGCTACAGGCTTGCTCCAATTTCTGTATGCCATCTCGCAGGCGAGGCAGATAAGATCATTTTTCAACACATTCCTG